TTTCAAACAGTGCAATACATTTGTGAGATATAAGAGCTGTGTTCCTTCTGCACAGCTCCTCCTTGTGCCTTTTGTTGGAAATGCTGCAGATTTATTCAAAGGGCTATATTGAGCACACTTATCTTTCTCTCTATCCTGTTGTTGAAGCTGCAAGGGCAGATCAGTTCACATTAAAAGGGACGTAAAAGATTAATGGGGATAAGGGCGAGTTCATTTTGCAAATCAAGATGTGATGAATACCTCCAGGGAGATAGGAGTAGGAACTGAATGAAATGTATGACAAATTCAAGGCAAGTGCATCTTGCTAAGTATATAAACGCAATTACAGCGATGTGCTATAAAGCATCCACAACAAGAAAGGAACATGTATCAAAACCAGGATTCTTTACTAGGATTTCAAAAACTACATTTATATAAATTCATACACAAATTATATTGTGTCCTGAGGAAAGTCCTTGACCAGAACATATATGATTATGGTTAAATAATGAATTATAGTGTGAGTGTTGTGGAATAAACCAGTTTAGAAAAAAAATCATTTTTTTTTTCTCCCAAGAAGCAAATGTGGTTTATTGCAGGTTATGTTTTGTAATAAAATTCCAATAGCCCGGTTATATATTTTTTTTCTATTATGTTAAACATTAGGTAGATCTATGAAAATGTTAATTGCTTTATGTTGGCATCTAATATTAAAACAGAATTGCATCATATTTTGTCGAGACATTTTTTTCAAACATGGAAATCCAATCTGCATTAGTAGATACCTCCAATGTGGTGAGGTATCCTGCCAGCTTCTTTACAATTGGCTCCAAAGCACAGGTTTTTGCCTGAGCACTGCACACAAAACCCAGGTTAAAGAGCAATGCGTTCCTACTGTACTTCTTGTTTTCAATGCAGACAGGGCAGCCAATCAGTTTCTTGTCCATAGCCGTGCTGCAAAACGAGATCAACAACTAAAGCTTCAATAGATGGTCCATGGAGATCAACAAAATGTCTCATAATAAACATCCTTTATCGTGATGCTTATACATTGAACAGGTACTGTCGAATTTTTCATAATTAAAAAGTTAGCTATTGGTGGAGATATTTATTTTAAATCTTAGTAGTCCCCATCATTTTAATTTACACACTGTTAGATACATTAGGAATAGCATGCAAATTTGTTTAACTCCTGTAGTGCCACATGCACAGCTCTGTAATCGCCATGTTGCCTTGTGCACACTGGCTCAATTAAGGTTCAACATCATTTTGAGATTTTCTTAAAGATGGATTCTTTATGAAAAGCTATTCTTGACGGTTTTGGGACTTTTTTCTTGTGTAAATGCAGACCTTTGGCAAAATGTGGCAATGGGTGGAGCTACTGCAGCTACATACTGCCATTCCCCATCAGTTGTGAATGTTCATTGGAACTCATGCATAATCTCATACAGATCTTCCATGAACTCTTTTGTGTGTAGAGGTTCTTATGAATGTCTACTCCCCTGAGGACCGTTAACTCAAGAGAGACCTCCTGCAACTAGATGATTACACTACAATTCAACCTACACCAGTGGTAAAACCAAAAAATATAGGTAAAAGTGAAGCATACTTACACAGTGATAAGTTTGTTTTGCAGTTCAGGCTTCGTAATTATATAAACCTGGACTGTGTCAAAGAGCTCCCGGGAAATGTACTCTTCTGGAACCTGGAAATATACATTAATTCAGCATGCTACCAATTAAAAAAAATAATACATAAATACATACACATATACACACTTACCAGCCACAACATTAAAACCAAATGTCCAATATTGTGTAGGTTCCATCACGCTGCCAAAACAGCTCTCATGCTTCAAGGCATGGACTCCACAAGACCTCTAAATGTGTCCAGTGGTATCTGGTACCAAGACATGAACAGAAGATCCTTTATGTCCTGCAAGTTATAAGGCTGGAACCTCCATGGATTGGATTTGTTGTTCCAGCACGTTCCACATATGCTCAATCGGATTGAGATCTGTGGAATTTAGAGGCCAAGGCAACACCTTGAACACTTTGTCAAGTTCCTCAAATCATTGCTGAACAATTTTTGCAGGGTGTATTATCATGCTTAAAGAGACAACTGCAATCAGGAAATACCATTGTCATGAAGGGTTGTACGTGGCCTGAAACAATCTCTAGGTAGGTGGCACATATCAAAGTAACATCTACATGAATCCCAGCAGAACTTTGCCCAGAGCATAACACAACATCTGTGGCCCTCCTTCTTCCCATAGTGCATCCTTCTGCAATCTAAAAACGAAAAGATCTGATCTAAAATAAAACAGGATTCATCAGACCAATCAACATTCTTCCACTGATCCATGGCCCAGTTCTGATGCTCATGTCTCCATTCAAGGCTTTTTTGGCAGTGGACTGGGGTTTCACAGGCACTCTAACTGGTCTGTCCCATACACAGCAAACAGAAAGGTATCAGAACACACAGCGCATCACTATCATGGCCAGCATTAGGTTTTCCAGCAATTTTGACCTACAGTAGCTTTTTAGTGTAATCAGACTAGATGGGCTCCCTATTTGCATCCATGACCCTGACGCCGGTTCACAGTTTGTCTTTCCTTGCACCACTTTTGGTTGGTAGTAACCACTGCATACCGGGAACAGCCTTTTTGGAGATGATCTGGCGCAGTCATCTAGCCATCACTATTTGGTCCTTGTCAATTCATGCAGATCTTTTCACTTACCCATTTTTAATTTTCCACCCCTTGACACGTGTCATTGTTACAATATAAATCAATGTTATTCACGTCACCAGTCAATAGTTTTAAATGTTGTGTCTGGTATACAAACACAAACACACACACACACTCTACAAAATCCACCTTCCCCTTAAAACATTGCACTTCGCCATAGGAAGATAGAGGAATGCTATGTGAAACAGAACTGTTTATTGATCGGGAATGTATATTTGGCTCAAATAATGCTGGACATGTTTAATGCAAACAAATCACAGTGGCCTAGATACAGTATTAACGAACTCACATGGGAAGTATTGTGAATTAACAACAGAAATAGAAATTTTAAACAAACACAAACATCAGTAAATTAACATAAAATAATAGAACAGATTATAAAATCAGATCTCAATACTGTTACAGCTTTAAAGTGGCAATGCCCCTTTCATGAAGATTGATTCTTTTGAAAAAAAGTTTGTTAACTGCTTCAGAATATGCCCTCAGAAGATATATATAATAAACAAAGTAGGGAGTACTTATTTCAGGTAGGATCTGATTTTGATCTAAATCATGCAATGGATGGACCTTGCACTTCCATCTTTGCACATGCTATCAATAGATGCCTATAACAATTTATTGCATATGTGCTAGAATAGCTAGGCAAGTTCCATTGTCTAGCAGGATCTCCAATACAGACACGCTTTTGCACAAGAGCCTGCGTACCTGATTTCCTGGCAAATGAAGTCACCAGGAGCTGTATAGGACAATGTGGCACCAAAGAGACAGAGCGTTATTTAATTATCATTTGGTAACTACCCAGTCTACCATTTAAGTAGACATGTCACCGTGGATGATGTCTTTGTACAAAATACCCTACAAGCTACAGTACTCAAGACTATACTATCATAGAATATCATTCTCGTAGCAGCAAGTGTGCCATAACAAGAGGTTGCTTACCTGGTAGGTTATCTTTGGTCCAAGAGTTGGGTGGAACTCACTGAAGAATATGCATTCAATTCTGCGACTAGACATCACTGCATGAACATCTTACATTAAAGTTTACAATAAGAACAATGTAATCAGAAATTATTTAACATGCATCTAAATGGGTGCACAACCTTTAAAAAATAAATAAATTTAAATTCTACTTTCATTAATTCATTTTAAAACAATTAGAAGAGTTGGCTCACTACCCAAAGCTTATTTTAAACCATCATGTAGCATTAGCGTCCATCATTTCTGCAGAAATATTTTTACAGGCTCCCATGAAATTGAATTTGCAATGCCCTGTCTTTAAGTGATAAACAGGGTTCACACAACTAACATACTCAAATACTAGAAATTGTGGAACACTGATAGCAAGGCAGCTGTGTGAGTTGTGTGTCTTATCTGAAAGACCCATAGGAGTTGATGGATGCTGAACCCATCTTTGTGATACACTCCTATTCAATTCACTACAATTTTGCATTTAGAGATTATATACGTTAATGTATGAGATCACCACACCACCTCAGTCGTCCCAATTTTCCCATAATTGTTATGTTTACGTGCGCTCACTCTCTGTGGATACAGACACACAAATGTTCATCCATTACAGCCGCCTGTCTGTGACTTTTCAAATCTATGTGCAACAAAGTCAACACTTTTCATGTAATGTGCGACAGCATGTATTAGTGATATGTGTCCAGGTGCACGTGCTTGAATTGGCAGCCCTAATTTTTTTTTATTTGCAATGGACCATAATAACTACACAGTGGTTATTTAACATGCTAGGAATTACATACAACTGGCAAGGGAACTGCATATTTTAGATTTTAAAAAAAAAATGCAGAGCTTAAAAATTCTCTGTTTCTTGTATTGTTCTAATTTTGGATATTCTGGCTAAAATCTGTGATTTTATTAATCCATTCTCTACAATTCCCAGTTTAGTGAATAACCTCCTATGCTTTGTGTTTATTGCCAAGCTCATACACTACATAACACAGTACAAAACTCCACCAATGCCAGAACAGGCATACTTACTCGTGCTGAAACCCTTTATGTACACGTTTCTCACACACTAAATAATGAAACAGAAGCAGAGGAGCCCCATCAGTATATTCCCCTCTCCATTCCCCTTACTTGCTAGCTTAATTAGCCCTTCACAAACATGGTTGCGTTCCAAGCCTCCATCTGGCTTAACCACGCCCATTTCAGATACTTCCATTCTATTGGTTATGTGTGTGGTCTGTTTGAAGACACAGATCAAAAACGCACTGTTCACACCCGGAAATAGCTGGCAGGGGCGTGGCTCATCTGTTGATTGACAGTATGTATGTCCAATGAACGAGTGGATTTGGTCAGGAGGCGGGCTTTGGACGTTTCCTGGGGGTTTTGAGTGACAGCCTACCAGAGTGTAAGTGTATACATGTATACTGATATATAAATGTATAAATATTAATAAAGGGTACCATAGGCCTGCTATCAGGGTGACTGCACAGAGACCCTCAGCCAGCAAAGAGCCAAGCCCCAGTTAGGGGATCATGCACTGTGGTGATGGTACTGGACTGGCTGACAGTGGGACAGAGGGGAGAGCACTGAGATCTGATAGGCTATCATTCAATGCTTTGTGCTAATTCATGGTAATATTGATAATAGTGCTTAGTTACACTGCATGGATATTGAGAATCTGCCTACTGAGAGTTCTACAGCAAAGTTCCAAAAGTGGAGCAATCACCATGGGAACCAGTGGAATTCTACTGCTGATTGCTCTGCTTTGAGAAGTTTACCCCAGAGATTGCTCTGCAAACAGAACCCATAGTGGGATGAGTTTCGTTATAATGAGAATGTCTCCTTACAAGTTACAGTAAGTTGTGTTGTGTCTTTTGCTGTGCTGTTATTTCTCTTTTTTTTAATGGAATATTTAGTATAGTGACATTGTCTAAAGAGTGGCAAAACTGTTAATCCCCAGGAGCTGTGAAACTGAAATTCCATATGGTGCTTTGCCAGGCTAAGACTGACAAGGTGTCATGGGTGTTGTATTCCATCAAGAGCTGGGGATCTGCCTTTTCACCACCCCAGGTGACAATATAAAGTAACTTAGTGTTCATTTTTGGCGGGTGTTTTAGAACTCTGCAGTAATGTGTAACTTTAATGAGCCTAAGCACCATAACCACCGTGACTCGGTAGTGGTTATGGTGCCAGGAATCACCTAATAGAGTAAAACTTTTTTTTTATGGCTTGGCACCTGGATCCCCTGAGAGCTTGTGGCACAACCTCAGATAAGAACTAAAAAGCGAGTTTCCCTTCTCTATTCGATATATCAGTTTTATCATTTTGTAGACAGAATTGTCTGCTGCTCTCCAATGAATTCTATCTAAACCGTCAAAATTCCAACCACTAATGCGAATGTAGGAAATTTCCATTTAGTGATATCTGAAGAGGGGTTCAGTATGCAGGCACCCAGTGGTATCCAGGTATGTGTCAAACTGTCTAACACCAGTTTAACTCTTACCTGGGTGACGGGGCCTGTGAAATGTCCCCTATGTGAATTGCATTGCAAGGGCAGGCAGTCCATTCCCACACCAGGAAGAAGCTATCATCCCATAAACATCTGCTATGCAGAAGTTTATGGGATGAGTAGTTTGACTCCAAGAGCAGTCCCACGTATCACATAGGACAAGTGACACTGCAATGTAAACTAAACCATATCACAGGTTACACACATGCTATGTTAAGGTCTATGCAGAGCTGCTCTCCAGACATGTACATGCTGTGGTTTTGCTTCTTCTTCCAAGAGAAGAGAGGGATCAGACCAATATGGGTGTGCAGTGTACAGACACCAAATTTAAAACTTTTATAAAATGGGCTGGCTACTTGACAGGAGGCAGAGATTGAGTTGTACCACTGCAAACTAAGTGATATATCTCAGAAATGGCAGCATGTCAAGCTGCACAGACCATGCACAATAACACTTCAGGAAGTTATAGTATTTAAAGGGACACTATAGGCACCCAGACCACTTTATCTGGGAATATCTGAGCTTCTGAAGTATTTTGACCAAAGTAGCGCAGTTGATAATTTTTGTTTAAATATTACATTTTAATTTATCCCATTAACAGTGTAATAAACTAAACCTTGTCATACATACTGTGAAAATACCTATTCCCACATTCAAGACAGACTGGGATTGAGAATTGTCAGAGTATTTATATCGGCAGACATTTTGTGCTATGATAGAAACTAAAAGTGTATATTCTGAGTCACTCTGAACAGACCAGACTCCATTTTGTTATTTCAAGTTAACAAAGAGACACAGTATTTCTATCTGTAAGCTAACCACTTTCCCAGAGCTGAGGAATGCATAGTATATACAAGCCAAGTGATAAGGAAGGGGGTTGGACAGACTGTCTAATGCTAAAAGAATATAATCAAATCTAAACCCAGACAATTGTGACAGAGAAGATTAAATAATTTAATATTTAACTGTCTATATATATAAGGTACCATTGTATGGAAAAGGGTAAACTTAGTTCATGATCTGTCATATCAGAAATTATGGCAGGAATTGCAGACGCTAAGTCTGGACAAAATTTAAGAAATCCTTTTGAAATTTTAAATTATGGCGCTATAAAGATAACGCAAAATGACGTCAAAATAGCCACCAGGAAAAGTTAACTCTTTCCTGGATAGGTATGTTTAGTGGGACAAGACTGCCCTCTATAGACCAAATACCTAATTTGCGATCTGGAAGATAACCACACCTCTAGTGCTTCTATTGGGTTATCAACTGATGACGTACTGAGAGTCTGGCCCTTTAAAAGTTAAGACAAAGATAGAGATACGGGAGGAGGCAGATGCAGGACATATGCAAAGGAGAGGAGAGAGGAATTGGAAGTTTGGGGGACTCCAACTCGGACAACATCTGAGACTAACACTCTACTCCTAAAACTCTAACACTTAGAATTTACTGACTTTCTAACCAATACCTCCATGCAGAGAGACTACCAATCGGATGAAATATCTACTCAACTGGTAATTATACTGGTTTCATTTAATTAATTAAATTAATTAAAATGTATTAATAGCATTATATATGACTGGATAAAGCACGGTCAGATTTCCATATTAAGAAATCTTAGTTAACTAAAGAATATATAGTTATAAACATTCCATTCTGCAGGTGGAATTAAGAATAATTATATATTGATGTGATATTATCACGTGTTAGCATACCGCTGTTTTTATCCAGGTGTATTGATTTGCTCTAAATTAAGATAGATATCTTTTAGACAAATTAAAAATCTGCTTATATAATATATTAGACTCTCTTATTGGATGGTTTAAGAAAATGACTAGTGAACTGGTTTAAATGTTATTTTATTTAAAAATTACATAAGAATAGATCTTAACTACCTAGGAGATCTAGCCAGCATTGAAAGGGTTATTCTAACTGTCGGCTAAACTTTACGACCTTACGCTGCACTCTGAGGAATTCTGTTCTTCGCTGTGAAAAGTTTCACTTAAGTCTGTGTTAAGGATACCTCATAAATCGTCAGAATTCTTGACAGAAAATGCCGTTTAGCCATTGAAACGTAATACCCATTTCTTTGTATTGCATATAATTCTGTACTGGATATTCATTGATTATTGTCATGCATGTTACATAATATTATTTGTTAATTATTGGTTATCATAAATAAAATCTATTTTTATACATTGTGATATTATTATATGAAATACATTCCACTTAACACGATAAACGTTCTTTGGGATCTGAGAATTGAATTAGTGGGCAATTCTCAACTGTTACTATTATTATCCCATAAATATCCCCACAGAATACATGGGGTATGAAGGTCCAAAAAGCTACATGATGCATTTTACACCCAGATAAACTAACATGAAGAGATCACAATTCGTTGGTGAACAAAGTCCAAAATGTTATAGGGATATGGAAATCAAGGGTACAAAACATATCACGCCTCTACGTTTGTTTGTGTCTTTTAAATGTAGAAAAGGTTTTAAAACAAAAAATACATTCAGGGTAGTCATGTTCCCCCCTATGTTGAGGACACCCAAATTTACATATTTCATCATACTTATATATTGAGCTATTTCAGTTCCATCATTTATTATCTGTTCTTTTCTTCCTCAGATTATCATGACTCAGAGCTCAGACAGTGATACACATATCTATCATGCTTTGCGCACAGTCTCTGGAGCTGCTGCACACTTGGCCACTTTTACATTTACTGTGTACATGATTTGCGTGTCCCAGCCTGGATCAAGTGAGTATAACGATTAAACAAAGGGCATCAGAGTTAATTGCAGTGGAATATACAAGTTACGAGGGAAGAAGTTTATATGATTATATTTAATAACCAGTTTTAACTTACCTGTCACAAAACTCATGTCAGTCGTCTTATTTGTACACCAATCCTGTGCCAATTAATGATGATCTGAATTTGAATGAAATTGATATTGCTGAAGTGAAATGGGAACTTTGGAATGGGCCCAGATAATTTGCAAACTGTTGAAAAACAAGATTTACTCTTATCATGGGATTATGTGAAGGTATTTCTATCCCCATAGCCAATGCAGATTGTTAAAGTGGTGATGTTGCTTATAGTGCCCCTTAAACATTTTATTGTGTACTATGAACCTTATTGCAATGTTTAGCTAAGTTGTGGAAAAAATCACAGTGACTATTTGTCACAGTATCATTGTTTTCTAAAAGATCAGATGTTGCCCAGAAAACTGAGTGACAGTTCCATTTTAGTTTACATTCACAATATTTAGAGACTAAAAGACCAAAAAAAAAAGAGAAAAAATATGTATTTCTTTGAATTAAAACAGTACATTTTGCTCTCTCCCTTCATTCTATAACCAAAGGTCGGGGGTGTTTAAAACAAAAAAAACATGTAGCCTAAACAGTTGCTGAGAGTTCAATCCGTGTTAATGTACATAAACCCTTTAAGCTGTAATATAAATACAAATTTGCATTTATTTTATAGTTTCTGGAAATATTAATATTAATCACTTGTTGCTTTTTTTTCTTATTTCCTAGCTCTTTTTTCATGGCATCCATTTCTCATGACCCTCGCAGTGAGTACAGTGTAAAAGATTAAAGCTGTTTTGTTTGCTTTAAATATTGATGTATGCAGGATTACCATTCCCTTGCCATTCACTGTTTAGTTACAATCCCTTCTGATTGTGACTGATAGGATTTGTAGTCCATAAATTACTGGCTGGTCAGATGACATCTGTCAGTGAATAAATGTAATTTAATGCAATGAGTTATATAGATAACTTAAACAACAGGCAAGTATTGGGAAGGAGGAACATGAGATAGGTGTGTCCCTGCGTGGCTCATTAACAGATCATTTGTGGCTGCACTGTACACAAAGCCGTGCATTCTACACAGATCTAATGCTGCAGATCTCCGTTGGTGGCATGATCAACTGAGAAAACAGGTCCTCATGCACAGTTCTCAACATCAGTAATCTTAACAACTTTTGTACACACAAAATACACCTTGGTGCTCAGCCACAGAATGCTCCAAATTGCCATGACACTTCCATTCATGCATTTAACAGAACTTCTGGTAGTGACATGGAACGGTGTCACGCTGGGCATCAACTCTAGTTATGGGTATACAAGCCACAGTACTTTTAGATATATTGGAAAACCTTTATGAGGGTGAGTCTCAGTGACTAATAGATCATGGCATCATTTAAAAACATGACCCATAATTGGTAGGTTTTGCAAGTGTTTGAGTCATAATTTAGTAAAATATCTGTCTCCACAGTTTTCCTTCCTCATGACGGAGGCTATCCTGGTTTTTTCTCCCGACTCCTCTCTATTACGATCCTTTTCCCGGAAAGCTAAAGGAAGAGCCCATTGGACTCTACAACTGTTAGCTGTGTTGTGTGCACTGCTAGGTCTGGGGATCATTTATGCCAACAAAGTTCTGCTCGCAAAGCCTCACTTTTCCACTTGGCACGGACTTTTTGGGGCTCTGACGGTGCTGTGGTCCGTGCTTCAGAGCTTCGGTGGAGTGTCTTTGCTTTACCCTAAGCTGGTGCAACGTTGGACTTTAGCCACTCGCAAACTGTATCATGCCACTGCTGGACTTCTGGGCTACCTGCTGGGTTGTTCCAGCCTTTTTCTGGGTATGTTTTCAATCTGGTTCACTACCACTGTCACTGGCTTGTCCTGGTACGTTTGTGCCTTGTGTCCCATTCTTACTGGTTTGGTAGTTATGAACCAGGTGAGCAATGCGTACCTGTATCGTAAGAGGAGCCAGTCTTAAGTGATAAACGCAATGTTTATGGACTGTCCCTCTGTGCCGGAGATTATACATGACTTTTATTTTCCTAAATTGGCTTTCCCTTCCATGTTGAATCAAAATTATGGGTCCCATTAAGAGGTTTATTTTACATCATGCTGACTTTGGTTTTACAATATTCTTCCATGTGGAGTTAAAATAAAAATATTTTTATATTTAAATTGGAATTGTATGATGATTGCTGTATTTCTTTCTTTACTGTGGTTTCTTTAAACGCATGTTGCTGGTCAGCTCTTCATTTAAGCCCTTAGTGACTGAGATTCATTTTATAGTATGTGCTTTCATGACATTGGGCTCTTAAGTACTTTTGCCGTGTGTTAGTTCCACTGTATGTCCCTGCCTTCCAATTATGTGCACCAATACATATATATTAATTGTTTATTTTCTTTATTAAAAAAAAAACAAAAAACACAGATGGGGCTTTCTTCTGATACCCTGTATACAGTATATGCATAGCATAATACTACATATTAATTAAGAAAAAAAAAATAATCATGGTTTTGCAGCAAAGCTAGTGCAAGTAAATAAGAAAAATACAAAAAAAACACTATCAAAATAGAATCCCTGATTAGTCCTGATTGTACAGTTGTCCAAAATGTCTAGGATTTTAATACTGCTGTTTTTAAGAGATGACTGTAGTGGAGCTGCAATCCTGAGATCGAACATCTTCGCTGGAATCCTCTGGAGCTGGAAGAAAAAGCTGTTCAGTGAATATAGCCCATTCCCCCAGTAACTGGACGACACACAGTTCTGGGAGTCAACTGAGATTTATTGTGCCACACTTGGCTGTTTATGCACAGACCCCCAGCATGGGGTCTCCATGGAATACAGTACAAACTCCTCCCCAGCGTCTCTGTGTCTGGGAGATAATTGAGTAATTGGAAGGCCAACTCAATTATCTCTCAGGCACAGAAAGTAAAACAAAATATTAGAAATTGCCCCAAAAACTTTAGAAAATATTACAGGAACCCCATAAGTCTTATATCCCCGATCAGCCCATGTCTGAGCTCCCAACATATCAAAAAAGCGCTCAGATCTGTTCAGTGAAACAGAATCGCCTTTCGGGATTCCTGTATGAACACAGACGAACAACGGTAGTTCCTATCTCCCGAACGTGGTTTGTGTAGCTGGTCGGGAAAGTGTACAGGCAGCAGTACTATCTCTGCTGGGGGTTAGCGAGAGTGGGTAGCCGCAATGAGTTCTACATGCTCGACGACCAAGTACTGCTGCCTGTGTTCGGAGGACAAAATGGCCGGAAAGGAAAAGCACTCAAGTTAATCCTTAAATTGTGGTTAACAGCCAGAGGTGGTCGGTGTTCTGAAACAATAAAGAGGGGGACCACACAAGATCTGTTCGGGAAAACTAAACATAGGTTCAGGCAACCTCAGGGAATGATACCAGGTCCGTCACAACGACAAAATTTTAATTTGTCAGACTACAGGGACAGGGACTTTGACACAAAACCACTACATTAAGATAGCTATTCAGGGTCTGCATGGGGCTAAGGTGCAGACCTAAAACTTTCTGTGCTCTCCTCAGCACTGGGCACACCGAAACGGTGAGGGAGATCTTTGATCTCCCCCACAAGCCCATGGTGGCACAGAGCTCCAGCTCCCGCGGTGAGCCTTATGCAGACCCTGAATAGCTCTCTCAGCTCTGGCATTCAGAGTGTTTCCATAGGTTACCATGGGAATGCTCTGATACTAGAACTTACAAGAGGAAAGATCCTGGTAATCATGCAGTGGAGGTGCAGACCTTTAGCACTAAAAATGACCTTGGACCACTATGTATCAGCAATCCCCCTTCCCTGGCAAATCTATGCAAGAGGGAGTGGGAAATAAAATGTATTTACTATTTTATTAATAAAAATCACAAACCTGTGTGACGAGACCAATCTCGCCACATTGCATTGGAGAAGCCTGGTTGCTCGCCTGCTGCCTTTGGACTATGGCCCCCTTTTAAAAGACTTTATTTTTGCCTGCAGAAAAGCTGTATTCGTGCTTTTCTGCCTGGGGTTCAGTAGATTTGTTTGAATGTGTTATACCCCAGATAGGAATCCCATGGAGCCCATTTGTATGAAACTGACTGTAAAGACTTTGGCTCCATGGCGATTAAACTGTATTCGTGTGGTCTGAGCGCCATTCACTTAATAATGTGCGCTCAGACCTGAGCTATCTGGGGATATGTTACATGTCTGTGTTTTATGTAATAAATGTGACTTTATGTATTTTAAAGTGTTTTGTGTCTTTTTGCAACCATGTGCTTAATGGAGTCTTGTGTCTGTCCTGGGAGATAATTGAATTACTTATCTCCAGGATAGAAGACTCTGAAACTGGTTTGGGCCAGAAAGCCATGCTTCATTTAGTCACAAAGGACTTTTTACTAACTTTTGAACCCCTTGTCTGATTTGTGCCATTTTTGAATATGTTGTTCCCCTGAATGGATTGATTGTGCATATGTAATTTTATGTGAATGTAATGTATGGTTTTAGAGTTATGAAAGTTGGGTAGAAAGTATGTTTTAACTGTATGTATAATTGAGTTTCCTCTCAGGATAAGGGGAGGGAATATGTGGGATGTAACTGTGATGTGATTGGTTGTTTTATACCTCCCTGTGGGCGGTCCTGTATTTGCAAGACTGTAATAAAAACCAGGCTGGGTGTGCCAGCACCTCAGACCACTGCTTGATCCTCAACACAGAGCCTTGTCTCGTTCTTGGGGGGATTCACTGTATGCTGTTAGAGACTGATTGCCAGGAGTGTAAGCTGCTTGTCTGCTTTTCCTGTTCGTCTGCTAGCAGCTATTTGGGAGGTTCCAGTTCGGGAGTTGGAGTGCTATTTTGTATCCAGTTTGGGAGTTTGATGTTCTGCAGTAGCTGTGCCTGTATCTCTGGAAAGGGGGCCGATCGCCTAAACGGTTTTTACCCCTTGTGTGCAAAACGGTCCGTTACAATTGGTGGCAAGCGGCGGGATCGTTCCTACAGCCAGAAGGACAGCTACAGGAGACACCATTTCTTTGGATTTTACAATTTGAGGGCAACGCATGTCCCAGTACAGCGACCCTGACAGCACCAGCATGGAACCAGCAGTGGAGTATGACGAGGGTGCCATGGATGACCGAGATGCAGTCCGTAAAGGCATCTGGTACCAGGCACTGGGTATTGTGGAGTACCAGCGGGGCAAGAGACTCCCCAAGGAAGACCAGCGGTTGCAGAAGCGAGTAGCCCTGCGGATGCCCTTCCTGGGAGAACAGCCCCTGGATGAATGGGTGAAGGAATTGGAGCACCGGGTATGGCAGGAGATTTGGCTGGAAGATGCCTACCAGGCGCTCTGGTGGTATGGGGCACAGTACCTACCCTGGACAGCCGAGCATGACAAGCCAGAGGGAGAGGAGTTTGATGGTCCTGGCTTGTTATGGGAGTCATTTTCAGAGCTCGAATTTGGGAGCCCTACACAAGCCCGGTTCAGTGATCTCTTGGAGTGGAGGGAGAGCAGGTATGACTAGGACGACACTCACGAAATTGAGCAAGACCTGGTCCACCTGGTAACCCGGGAGATGGAGCTAGAACAGGGCTACCAGCAGCTGTTCCAATACAGTGAGAAGGCGCAGCGGGAGAGCAGCATGACAGACCCAGAGCCAGACTCATTCAGAGGGGACGAGATGGTACAGTTTTACTGGGAAGAACCCCAGGTGGCCGGTAGAGATGGGACCGAGGTCTCTCCACCGGTCCTGCAGGGAATTGGGAGCCCAGTCTCCATTCCCCAGCGGCCGCGTGATTTATTGGGAATTGGGAGCCCAGTCTCCATTCCCCAGCGGCAGTGTAAAGTGCAGGGAGAGGAGAGCAGTATCCTCCCTCCCCAGCGGCAGGCTGAGTTACAGGGGGCAGAGGTAGTTGTTCCTGCCCCCAGCAGCAGAGTGATATGCCGGGAAGGCAGCGTAAAGTGCAGGGAGAGGAGAGCAGCGTCCTCCCTCCCCAGCGGCAGGCTGAGTTACAGGGGGCAGAGGTAGTTGTTCCTGCCCCCCAGCAGCAGAGTGATATGCCGGGAAGGCAGTGTGAAGTGCAGGGAGAGGAGAGCAGTGTCCTCCCTCCCCAGCGGCAGGCTGAGTTACAGGGGGCAGAGGTAGTTGTTCCTGCCCCCAGCAGCCAAGTGATATGCCGGGAAGGCAGTGTGAAGTCCAGGGAGAGGAGAGCAGTGTCCTCCCTCCCCAGCGGCAGCGTGATTTTTGGGGAATTGGGAGCCCAGTCTCCATTCCCCAGCGGCAGTATGATGCTTTGGGAATTGGGAGCCCAGTCTCCATTCCCCAGCGGCAGCACAGATCATTGGGAATTGGGAGCCCCGTCTCCATTCCCCAGCGGCAGAGTGTCCTACCGGGAATAGAGAGCCCAGTCTCCTTTCCCCAGCAGCAGGACTCTGTATTGGGAGCAGAGACAGTCGGTCTCCCTCCCCCGCAGCTGGAAGTATGTATGGGAGAGGAGCTTGTTACCCCCTCTCCCCAGCTGCAGCTTAATGTACCAGGGGGAGACAGTAAGCCCCACAACCGTGCAGATGGGACCGTAGTCTCTACACTGCCAGCACAGGGGGTAGGGACGGTCGGTCCTGCCCCCCAGCGACAGGGCTGTTTAGCCAAAGGGGAGACAGTCGGTCTCCCCCTCCAGCAGCAGAGATGGGTAACCAAAGGGGAGACGGTCGGTCTCCAGCAGCAGGACTGTGCATCTAAAGGGGAGACAGTCAGTCTCCAGCAGCAGCAGCAGAGCGGTGTATTTAAAGGGGAGACAGTCGGTCTCCCCCTCCAACAACCAGGCTTCCACCAGGCTACCCTCCCAGTAGCGCTGGCAACAGGGCAGAGTGCCGCTGGTCTCTGCCCACGCAGCAACCCACCAAGTCAGCGTACCCGTACCCAGCACAGCCGTGGTGAGGCACCTGGACATGGACAAGCTTCTCCTTTACCCAGGTGTAGTAACCATTTATTGTGGGTGGGCTGTGCTGTTGATTATTTGTTGTGGGTGGGCTGCTGGACTAACAAGGGCACTGACCGGCAGGAGGTCAGATACCCTGTTAGTCTGTTTGGAAAAGGGGAGAGATGTGACGAGACCAATCTCGCCACATTGCATTGGAGAAGCCTGGTTGCTCGCCTGCTGCCTTTGGACTATGGCCCCCTTTTTAAAAGACTTTATTTTTGCCTGCAGAAAAGCTGTATTCGTGCTTTTCTGCCTGGGGTTCAGTAGATTTGTTTGAATGTGTTATACCCCAGATAGGAATCCCATGGAGCCCATTCGTATGAAACTGACTGTAAAGACTTTGGCTCCATGGCGATTAAACTGTATTCGTGTGGTCTGAGC